GAGAGAGAGAGAGAGAGAGAGAGAGAGAGAGAGAGAGAGAGAGCAGGTATCAGAAGAAGCCAGAGCAGTCTGATCTGGACCTGGAGTTAACAGGTGGTTGTAAGCTGCATGTGCTGGGAACAGACCTCAGGTCTTCTGCTAGAGTAGTAAGCACTTTAACCACCGAGCAACCTCCCTAGCCCCAGAAGACCACCTTTTATGAGCCAGATCTCCCCATTAACCCAGTGCAGGTCTTTGTCCAGCACTGGTGTACCTTGTGACTAACAGTAGGAATTTTATTCCTTGGTTTATTAGTCACTGCCAGAGTAAACAATGAAGGTTTGACTTTTACTTCCAAATGCCATCATTTTCTGTTTGTGCTCTGGCAGTAGCTTCCAGTGCATACATACAGTGTGGGGACCATGCGTGTTAACTCCAAATAACGTCTCTTGTGTCAGGTATACTAAGTCTCATGGTCTGTTGACATTAACAAATAACTTCTCTCTCTGGATCTTCCCAGTGTCCATTTCTGGTTACTGTGGCACCCTGGAGCCTCAGTCAGAAAAGGTCTCAGGCCAGAAACCAGGCAAACACCCGCTTCACTTCATCTTGTATTTTCTCATCTCTTGCGGTTACAATTTTGCTTTGCTTGTTTTCAAATGCTCCAAAAGGGGAATACCTTCTGTGTTTCTGTCCAGTTTATTATCTATGACGAGAAAAACATTCTTTAGCAGATACACTTGGGGGTTGAAAGCAATTCTTCTGAAGATTCGCAGTTTTAACAAATAATTATGCACATTTTTTGCAAGTCATAAAATTCTTCATGAATATTCTCTTAAAGGCGTGTGGCTTATAAATTAAAACACCTTCATCTAGTGAATGCCACAGGTAGGCAAGTTATATTTAATTATGTTTGTGTGTTTCTTTGTGTGGGTGTATGCACATGTGGGAAGGTGACAGAAGATGCTAGAGATATCTGATATAGAGTAGTTATAGGTGGTTGTGTCTGTGTGAGGGTGCATATTTGATTTCTCATATAGGTATCCCTCTTCAGGCGCCCTATGACAGTGGCCAAAGTCTGCCCTCAGCAAACATCTAGCATGGAATGGAGTATTACTCACTCTTACTTAGCAGTGTTTGATTTTACTAGACTTATTCATCTGAAATAACTGCATGTTTGCTCCTGTGGTCAACATTTTTGTCTCTGGGAATTGCTGACATTACTCTTTGCTGTTAAATATTTAGTATTTTAGCATGGGTGAAGCAATGCATTATTTTTATTTCCATGTCTGGATAATTCTCTTTAGTATCACCTCCTTCAGGTTCATGTCTTTGCAAGTGGCAGCACTTGCCTCCTGGTGAAGACGGAATAAAATAGACCTTTCATTTGTGTGTGGTGAACTCTGAAACACTGACAGCTTTTGCAGTTCACTGAAGGCGGACGCACAGTGCATAGTATGCAGACCTGCTTGTAGCTCTCATCTATTGATTACTGTAGCAAAAGCATCACAAGGGAAAATCAGCTCCAGAAACCATAGCCTGGAACATTCTGGAGGAAGCCAGGCACATGCTGCCAAGTCTTCTCCCAGTGGACCACCTAATCTTCCAGCATTAAGTTATGGCCACATGAGTGAAGTGATATTTACAGAGAGGTTCATTAGAAACCCAGGGCCCTGGCTTTTAGACTCCATGCCCTCTGCCTAGCCTGAGTCAAAATCACAGACTTAATAGAAAGAAAGCAGGTGTTCAGCATAAACCATTGTTTGCACAAATCCTTTAGGTCCAGTGAGTCATTTTTATCAATTATGGAATGGTGGGAACTTTCCTGCAATGGTATTCCCAGACCCTGGCAAAGAGCTCACCTTACAGGGGTCTAAGGAAAACAGTCTCTGGCCTATCAGGTTAACTTTTCTGTATAATTTGATATCTCTAATTTATTCTGCAGGGAGATCCAGAAGCTAAAATGACATAAGACCTGTATTTTAGGGACAATGAGCCTTTGTTGCATTTCTCTCCCTGAAAATTTAAGTTTACGTTTTTAAAATAACAAAATCTACCACATAATATTGATCTTTCAAATAACTGCAAGGTATATTGATACCAAAGGAAGTGGATAATTACACAGTTAAGCCTCCTTATACCAGGATGTCAAATCTGGTAATTTGCCTACTTGCTAGAAAGTACCTGAAATTCTAAAATTACTCTCACCACTTTCATGGTCATTTGCAGCAGGCAGAGGACGCTGAGAAATTTGAGCCTAGCAATACATGCACTCATTGCTGAGGCTAAACAAGCTGGGCCCTGCCTTCTTTTACCAACTTTCATGTAGGGAGAACTCCTGAAAGATGGTAGGGATAGCGTCTGTGCTGCAGGAAGTTGCCAGTTCCCAGGCCATGTGGGCGGCGTCTGATTTCTTGCTTGTGCTCACATTCCTGGGATGGCAGGCTACTTGACACTTCTGAACCTTATTTTCTTTTTCACAAAATGAAAAAAAAAAGGGTAGAATCCATTAGGATAAGTTCATCTTAGGACTTAACACTATATTTATAGAGATAGATATAGATTAGACACACACACACACACACACACACACACACACACACACACACACACACACACAAAGCCACTAGGAGCAATGGTTCAGTATTCATGAATTCAGTGTTCTCAGCAACATAATAGAACTACTGTGAATAATGAGAACCAACTGTGTATATTTTTATCTCATTCTTTCATTATGTGTTGAATTTTCTTCTTGCTGAAATCTGTGCTTTATAGGTTTTAGTGTGTGTTCAATAATGTTAAACTGTATTAACCTTTTTTATTATAAACTGATTTAATTTTATCTTCTTTTGGAATGATAATTGGTTTCAAATTTAGCTTTAGGTGGGCAATTTGCATGTGGGATTCTACTTTATCCTGGCATGATCGGGCTGATAGAAAGCTGCTGTGTACCTCCTGTGTACCTCAGACACTCTCTTTCTGGGGTGTTTTATAAATCACTCTTCTTTGATGTTTTGCAGTTATACCATAATGTGTCTATGCTTTGATATTTTATTTTTATTTTTACTATTTTTGTTTAGCATTTAGAGCGCTACTAATTAGAGTGTTGATTAATTTAATTTTTAAAAATTTCTTTAGCTCTGTCTTTTAAAATCTTGCTTTTCTCTCAGTTCTTCTCTGGCCACTGAGCCCGGAGGCCAAACTGGCCCATTGCCTACTGTTGGAAATAAATGTTTGCTGGAGTTCAGCTACCTATTTGTCTTTGAATTTGGCATAGCTCTTTTGACACTGAGGTGGCACAGTAGAATATGAGAAAAGACCAAAGCTATCTAGCCTGTGATGTTTGGAAAGTGGAATTCTCTGACTTTTTACAGGAAAAGAACTTAGCTTATCCCTGTGCTAGAGATCCTCTTAATGATGTGAGAAAGCAATATTCACTACAAACATCTTAACTTGTTTTTCCTATATTTTAAGGATCTATTTTATTTTTTAACTATGTGTATGTCTGTCTGTCTGCCTGCCTGCCTACCTGCCTGCATATGAGCACAGGTTTCCCCTGGGGACCAAAAGAGGACATTGAATCCCCAGGAGCTTGAGTCACAGGTGGTTGTGAGCATTCATTGTGTTTGGTTGGGATGAAATGTGGGTCTTCTTCAAGGACAGTTTGAGATCTTGACTGCTGAGCCATTTCCCTGCCCCTTCTTCATTTTTTTCAAATATTTCTTTTAATTTTTGAGATTATAATATTACATCATTTCCCACTTATCCTCCCTCCCTCCAAGCCTTTCCATATACCTTGCCCTGCTCCTTTCCATGGCCTCTTTTTTTTCTGTGTGCATTCTTGGCTTTCCAATGTCTTTATTTACTTCAAGATTACAGTGTTAGGTTATTTGTTTACAATTAAAATACTAATGACATCTCAAATGTTTTAATTAATTAACCAAGTGCAGATTGCTTATGATTCAATTTCTCCTTTTCTACCCCAAATAACTGTTATTTTTTTATAGATACTATCTTTTAGTTTTCTGTATCATCTACTGGAACTTGAACTCTATGAAGGTAAATCTTTATATCCTTCTTCTCTTGCTGTATTCACCAAGGCTTGTGTCTATGTCTGAAACAATTTGTTGAACACCTAGGACTCTAGATATAGTTATTTGAGCATTTGGCATAAACTGTTCTATAAGTGCCATGCTGGCCAAGGTAAATTATTCCCAAATTGTTAATTATTTTCCCTCAGTGTTTGATATTGGACTTAAGGCTCTGTGCATAGCAGGCAGGCACTCGATCATTGAGCTACAGTGAGTGTTTGGCTGGCATGTTTGTAAGAATACCATGTTTTCACAGTGCAGAAGGAGGCCAGGAAAGGGTATCATGTCCCTTATAATGGGATTTACCATTGCCATGAGGAGTTCTTAGGAACCACAGATCTTTACTTTTTAGTTTTGGTTTTGGGCTTGGCATTCACACTACTCTTTGCCTCTCTTGGGTCAAGTGTTTCTTTACGTTGAACTCTTCCCATTGTTGTATAAACATGCTATGATGATTCCCAATGTTCTGACACCCTCCTTTATGCCACACTTCCCTGTACCACAGCTCATGGTTTACAGAGCGCCTCGGGAAGGTTGGCTACTCTGCTCCATTTCACATCCTTCCATTCTACTCACAATGCATTCTTTTGTGTCACTGTTATGATCTTACAGAGCTACGTACCTGACATTAGCAGGGTAGTTGTCAATCATTGCTTTATCCAAGTATTAAAAGCATTGGACACAGTTGGTCATATGCTTTCTGTTCTGAAACATTTTTGTTATTGTGACAAAGTACTCAAGGAAAAACAGTAAGGCAGATTCATTTTGGTTCATTTGGGTTTTACTCCACGGTTGCACTATCATTTAGGGAACTGTATTGAGTCAACACATCGTGGCAGAGACATGTGGCAGAAGAAATCTGTTCAACACATGGTAGCCAGGAAGCAAAGAGAATGTCAGGAGGGCCAGGATTCTAGTATTCTTTTGAAGGGCCCACTCCCAGTGAGCCAGATGGATTCTACCACCTCTTAAAGAGCTATCAGCTGTTGAGGAAGCTTCAACACATTAGTTTGGGGAACCTTCAGACCACAGCCATAGCAACTTTCTTTGCTTCCAAGACTTTTTCGCTATTCCCTTACTTTTCACATTTACTCCTGGGCCTTTTTAGAAACTCTTAAGTTTTTCAATATTTCCAAAACAATAATGTTGGTGTGCCCTGTGGTCAGTTTTAAATTTTTTCTTTTTTTTTACTCTTTTGAGTTAATTTCACTTATTTCTGTATTTTTGAATGTTATTTTTGTCTTATCCTGGTACAATGATTTACAATTCTAGCACAAACATTTCTTTTTATTTGAGAGTGACATCCCTACTTAGGTTTCTTTTATATCTTTTAATCTTTTTTTTAATTTCCTGACTAAGGGTTTTGCCATGAAGCGCAGACCAACTTCAAATTTGTTAGCTTCCAAATAAGTCTCCCAGGGGCTGGGAAGCCAGTGCACACCTCCTTTGTTCCCACTGAGTTCTGTAGGTCTAGATAAAAAGTTCCTGTATTAATGAGATTAGGCAAAAACAAAAACACCTACTTCAGATACTCTGTAGTCATACTTGATTTCTATTTGTTATGACCTACCATGAGCCTTCAGAAATTCTGGTTGCTCTCTCTTGAAATAAATGTCTAGTACCTGATCATTTTTTACCCTAGCTGTGGCTTGGGGATGCTTCAACCACAATAGGCTTTTGGGTGCCACTCCGTCTGTTCTTGGTTTTCATTTCTTGACCTCCTACATCTCACTCTGCACACACTTGCTAGGATGTTCCTTTGAATGAGAAGCTTATTTTCCCCTCTGCTCATATCCCCCTAGCTGTTTCTTATCACCTTATCATGATCAGAAGAAAATCCAAACACTCCACTTCTGAGTGACTTGGTCCCGGCTACCCTACCAAAGCTCTTGGTTCAGCAACTTGTCTGTTCATTTGATGATATTTTCTAACGTTTGACTCACCCACTGGTTTCCAGGTCCACTGCTCCAATGTTTTTCTATAAATACACCTTTTTGTTCCCACTCTCCCTCGTGTAGGTTTCAGCGATATAGATCAAGATGGTGTCAGTGTAACACAAAGCTGCCCAGGTTGATGGAGGATTCTTATAGGACAGGGGCCAAAATAGAAGGATGATCATTACATACCGTCTCCATAAGAAGGAGAGATACTGTCACACAGCCTCTGCATCGGGGGCAAGAGCACACTCTAAGAAAATAATGGGGTTCCTATACCAGCATCTCCCACCCAGGCAGGCCTAGCTGCCTCTGGGCAGCTTTCAGCTGTGGGGTTGAACTGTCTAAAATGCTACTCAATGGTTGTCTTATGATTTTACAACCTCATTGCTTTCTTCATTGTTATAGCTCTTGGCCTTGAACATTCAACATACTGCTTTTGGCCCCTGGTTACACTTAACTACGAGTTCAGGGGACTTACCTGGTAATGTTAATAACTTCACGTTTTCTGGATTCAAAGATGTAAAGACTTTGCATTATCTGTCCATTGTTTTAAGTCTCCTTGAAGCTCAGAAAATTTGAATACATGGATTTTTTTGTTTGTTTTGCCAAAAGTTTTGCATTCTGCTGCTAGAATAAATACATAAAAATATCAGAACCACCAGTGTTCTCGTTCCTCTGGAGTACTTGTAAATCCCTAAACCAGTGACAATCCACCCCAAACAGCCTTATGACCATGCTCCCTTCCTTACCTCCAAAGGACACCTTCCCCAAGACGCCTTCTTAATGACATGTCTGAAACAACATCTGACTCATTTTCTCTATCTTCTGCCCTTTCTGAATTATCTCCTGAGCCCTTGAGATTGTCTCTTTATTTGTGTGTGGATTAATTCTCTTCCACAGTACAACAAGGGTTTTCTGTGTTGTTCATTGGAATCCAAATATTTGGCAAATAGCTAAACAAACAATTATTGAATAAATAGATGACTGTGGTCTGCAAGTGTCTTCCTGTTCTAAGGAGAATTGCTGCCTTAAATATCTGTGCTGTTGGAAAATTGTTTATCATTTTAAGCTACATATTACATAAAAGAAATTACTTTTAAATCTAAAAGTTAATTTCATGAGTTAACAGTCAGCTACAAATCAATGGTAACAGTGTAAATGTAATTGCTAAACTTCTTTTAACTAAAAGGAATTGTCTTAGAGGCCTAATAATATCATTAATAATTTTATGCCTTAGTAGGAATGCCATGTCTTTAAATCAGGAAAATTAAGTCTGACTGTAGCTATGCTCATAATTATTCAATTTTTATTACTTTTAGTTTATTTATTGCTCTGTGTGTGTGTGTGTGTGTGTGTGTGTGTGCACGAACACACACATGTGGGTTCATGTGTGTACGTGTACACATGACAACTAAAAAACCTCAGGTATTATTTCTATGGAGCTATCACTCTTCTGCATTGCCCTGGGACATGTTACCTTGTTTCATTGATTCCTTCTGCCTGGAAACTTTTCTGTGATACCAGTGAGAAAGGAGATGCCTACAAGACTGTAGTGGACAGAAAGCAGATGTAGGAGGGAGGAAGATGTGAGGATCACAGCTATAGGGCAACCTGTGTTGAACATCTGGCACATGCACACATGCACAAAACAATTCTCAAAGGAGACAATATACTATAATCCCAAATAACTGCCAGCGTGACACTCTCTCACATGAATACTGTATCAAAGCAGAGGCAGTTGGCATTGGGGGTAGAGCTGTTGTGTTTATAACTGTTCCTCAGGACACAATCCTATTTATATTTTTCAGAAGAAATAATAGAGGTTCATCTTCTAGAGAAGTCTACTCAGGCAGTGAAGGCCTCTATCATCAATACTTCCAAGTGACTTATCTCTCAGAGATTTCAGTAATTTGTCCTCAAGAATATTGGCTGCTCTTGTTTATAAAATTCCTTTCTGGTCATTTTCTTGAAATATATATTTTACTTCTAGTTTTCCAAGGTCCAGTTGATTTAAACACACACACACACACACACACACACACACACACACACACACACACACACCACAGTAAGAGCAACAAAGCACTTAGACTGAGAGTTTACATAAATTCTGAAGGTCTGTTTTCCTGTACACAAGGTAGGGTCGTCTGTAGTCTAGCAGAGACTTTAATTTGGCTGGCTGGATTCCACAGATTTCTGTACCACAGCTACAGATGGTTGGGAGTGGTATTCCAGGCAAACACACCCTTTGTATACCTATGTACATATATGAGATACAGCATGTAACCTCAAAGATAATTAATGTGATAATTAAGTAAATAAGTGAACTAAAATATGTAGAGTAAAGCCAGGAATGTAGCTCATGCCTTCAATCCCAACCCTCGGGAGGCAAAGGCAGACAGATCTAGGTGAGTTCAGGCCCAGCTTTGTCTACATAGCAAGTTCCAGGCCAGGCAGGGATATGCACTGACATCCTGTCTCAAAAATTTTATTTTAAAGCATTATTTGTTATGATAATATTTAGTCAGTGTATTAAGGCATTGCTATGATTCATTTTCCTCTTAAATGAGAATGCAGATTAGTGGAGATGAGAAACAAAGAATTTTAAAATTCCACAAAAGAATAGTAGCTAAATACAAGGCCCCTAGCATGTAAATATGGAAGTAACCCCTGAATAGCAACCTGGGAAGAATATTCATCTTTTTTTTCTTTTCAACTAACAGTTTCCTGAAAGGAAACACCAGAACAGAAGCATCGTTTTGTCCCAGCTCTTTTCTGTTACCTGCACAAATCTTACAAAGAGAAAAAGCAGATTTATTCCCTTTGTATTATGTGCATGGGTGTTCCGCCTGCGTGTGTGTCTGTGCACCACATATGCAGCATCCACAGAGGCCAGAAGAGGGCATCAGATTCCCCTGGAACTGGAGCTACAGTTGCTTGTGAACTGCCATAGAGTCCTGATGAAGAGCAGCCAGTACTCTTAACCACTGAATCATCTCTCCAGACCCCAGAGCAGAAGCTTTTAATAAGTTTTAGTAAGTAGATATGAAGAGCACTTGCCATGTTAAAATCGGGAATTGTTTTGGAATCTCTATACTATTAACCCAGAATAGTCCTGTAAGTGCTGCCTGGGCAGTAAACAAGTGACATTTCTATTATAAAAACTTATTTTGGAGTCTGATGATTTGGTCATAAAAACTGTCTTGAGGCTGAAACCTGGCGTATGCTGTGTTCATTCAAAGCAGAAAGGGTTTCTCATTATTTAGAAAATTTCACTTAAATTCCGAGAAGCAGGAAAAGCACTAGATTTATATATCTAATTTATGAAAGTCAAATGGGAAATAGAGTATTATGGCAATGGAAATTTTTTTGTTTTAAAAGTTATGATTAAATATTAAAGGCTGTAATGTAACAAGTGCATAAACTTAATGGGAATTCTAGATTATAATTAACTTGGCAATCGCATGTTTTGGCAGATAGAAAATTTGAAGGCCATACAAGACAAGTGGCAGCAGTTGCTGCTTGGGCTGATATGCCACAGGGGTTTCATTAGGGATAATATCTATAGATTTCTTTTGTAAAATTTATAAACTTTTAAGTATGATCAATTAGAATTAGTCTCAGATTCAAGTGAGAGAAAATAACTGGGAATGTATTTGCTGATATAGGAACTTAGCTTTTTGATGATGCTGAGTAGGAAAAATATGTGTGCTGAGAGAAAAATTACAGTTTAAGCTGAATAATGTTGATTAACACAGTAGGCTATTTTGGTATAATATGTTGTTGGAATTATAAACTGAAATTTTTGTCAGTAATAACAATACGACTATGGATGTTGAAAATTATGTCATATATATGGAGAGAGAGAGAGAGAGAGAGAGAGAGAGAGAGAGAGAGAGAGAGAGAGAGAGAGAGAATGTGTATAGCTTTCTAGGTAGGAACTCTCCAATCATTCAAGTGACAAGTGTAACTTTATTTTATTGGTCACTTGAACACCAATTCTGACAGATGGTTTTATAATTGTATCTAGTTGATTAAAATTGGGCTAAGATATTTAATATATTTTCATATTGTTTGTGCTCACTCCTTTCAGAATACAAGCAAAGCTCCCCTCCCCATGTGCAGTGTCTTGTCATGAATGGAAGTGATATGTCTTCTGTCCTGTGTTGCTCAGCATCTAGTGACACAGACATTTGGAGTGTGGATTCTGTAACCAGGCAGCTTTTGAGAATACTCCTACCATCTCAGGTGTCCTCTCTGCCTCTCCAGGAGGGCAGCAGCATGACAAAGCTCTTCTGTGCATTCTCCCTATGTCTGGGAGAGACTTAACCATGGAGAGAGGCTAAATCAGATCCTCAGATGGAATCCTTTTGTTGCAATTCCTGCTATATTGTGCTGCATTTAGACACTTCCCTCTGGGAGTTGGCATCTTCCCAGACTTTTATTAAAAAGAAATGCTCATGCACCTTCTGCTTTGGGGTTCTTTCTCCACATTTCTGCTGTTCCCTTGATGCCCTCATCCAAAGTTTAGGTCCGCATTTGGTTACATGGATTCAGAATATTTCCTTTAGCCCTTGTCCAGAAGGATACTTAGTTGTTTCTACACAAATGAGAGTAGGGAATCTACCCAGAATTTGAGGGTATTTTGGAGTCTTGATTGAAAGGATACTAATCTCTACAAACCTCCAAATGCTACCAATCTATAGCAGTCAGAGTGAGGTCTCTGAAAACAGAAGGTAAAGGGTGAATCCCCAAGAACTTGCTTCTCTGATGGATGTGCAAAGTGCTATTGACCTGCAGAGTGATATGATGCTCCTGAGGTCCTTACACACTGGGCCCTCCCAGACCTCAGCACAGGGTTAGCTTTTCTGCACTTGGTAGCTTTTCCTGATGCTTCCCCTCCCCTCCCCCACCCCCTCACTCTTACTTTGTCCATAGTGCCTTTGCTAGACTCGTGCAGTGAAGTCGCTTGCGTGTTTCTTCTGTATCAGTCACCATTCTCTTCCTGTGGCAGAAGAAACACCTCGAGGGAGGAAGGATTTATCCTGGTATGTTGTCTGAGAAGGGATACAGTCCATCATGGCAAGAAAAGCATGTAAGAAGGACCATGACACAGCTGGTCACTTTGTGTTTGAAATCAGGAAGCAGAGAGTGTTAAATGCTGGTACGCAGCTCAGCTTCTTCTTAATTCAGTCAGGAATTCCTACCTATGGGACACTGTTGTCCATAATTATTAACATGTGCCTTTCCTCCTCATCTGAACCCTCTTGTAGCTCCACTTAGCAGTGTATTTTTCTGGAGATTCTAATCCAGTACAACTGCCAATGACATTTAACCACCACATTATCTATTCCTTGGCCGGAGCCCCACTTGAAGAAAAGGCTATTACATTCTTGCTCTTTCCTCCCACTCCTATAGGTTTGTTATGACCATTTTACTTTGCTGAAGTCATGTGGGGGATCCAATAACCTATTCGCTATTTGCCAGTAATAATCTTTTGTATATTCCTATAAAATACGCTATTTGCCAGTAATAATCTTTTGTATATTCCTATAAAATAGGCTTAGTAAACTATTGTGAAATGTGCTGATTTGAGTCACACTGGGTTCGAACATTACTCT